GATGGTTAGCCAAAACCAGCTGCAAAATAGTATTTTCTCCAAATTTGTTCTTTAAAAATATGTCAGCTCTAAACAAATAACACTGAAGTTTGATATTCTGTTGTTGATACTCTTGAACTAAATTCCACTCAGTGTTATTTGTTCTAAGCCATCCAATCTTCATTTTCTACCAAACCCTACACATACTTCAGGCAAAGACAGAGAAAAAGGATAAAGGTCATACTTTCTTTGCTTCTGACACAAATGCTACAGTACCTGCAATTAATATGGCTGAGAAGACACTCACAGATAAACTTTTATTTCAACCACAATACCCAGTACTGGTGTGGTGAATGAAATGTCCATTTAAATTTTTGACCTAGCAGATCTGTGATTAGGAAAGTGCACAGTTCAACAGGCCATTAACTAATTCATGAAATGATGCTCATTATATAGACAAAGTGTTATTTCTTCTGGAAAATGAGCAGGTCACTGACCACTACCTTGATCTGATACACCCAGGAATTAGAATGGATATTTTGAGTTCATATTTGATTAGCATTTGAGACACTCTTTCTCCAAACACTTCCCCCAGGACTGCACATGCCAAGCTATTATTCAAAGACCTGAGAACGCTCATTCCACTTAACACTATCTGAGTTTTACTGACAGTGCTGAAGACAACAATCTGTTCCCTAGACTATTAATGGACTTTCAGAAATCAAAAAAAAAAAAAGTTGAAATCTAGCATCACATGCCAACAGTGAAGAAGTCTTTGAAAAAAATAATATCTGTGTCCCTGAGATATTTCAGAAAACCTCAAGTCTATTTAGATCAATTGCAGCAAAGCAGCATTCATCATTAACATAATGCAAAACAGAGTCTGTGGATCTTACTGACCAGTTGGGTACTTTGGGGTGGTAGCAGGGAAAAGGGCAAATACTACATGCTAAAGCCAAATTAAAAGAAAAATCAGCAGAGATGCAGAAGATGCATTTGAATTACCTTCTGTAGATTCCTAGCTCAGGTGGCACCTAACTAATTTTTATATGATCCAGAACAGGAATTCATAGGCATGCTTCACAGCCCGTGGAAATCAAAGCAGACAGCTGCTATTAACTCTCTCCACCATGGAGCTCCTCTGTGTTAAAGGTACATTCTTAATCTTCTAATTGAGCTAATACAAGATATTAGTTAGAGGGATGCCGTCTGAGGAATGCATTTAAATGGGGCTTTAAAGTCTCATTCCTTTTTTTATCCCACTACTTAGAGACATCCTGGCTAATTCTCCTTCTTTGGACTAATGATCACCCAAAACTCAGTGCCCACCCAGATTTCACCAGATTGAAACTGCTAGGTTACATATGCTGCCTTAAGAGCATTCCCTTCCACCTCAAATCTCATGCTAACCACATCAGACTAGGGGAGAAATGCTCATTCCTCAACTCAAATGCCAGTTACCTTTTAGGATTACCACTTGGTTTGCTTGACACAGACAATCACTGTAACCTGATCTGTAGCTAAATCCTTAAAAAGGGAGAATTAAGAAGGAAGTATTATGTACAAATAAAAAAATAATTTACTTTTATATACAGCATTTACAAATTTCTACATGAATATATTCTAATAGTTTTTGAAAATCAGGGTTTCCTAGGACAGCTGTCAGAAAACCAGTCTTACAGTGTGAGCCTTAAAGACTATAATAATTCAAATTTACCAGAACAAAAGTTGAAAGGTGTCTTGACTACTGTATAAAATTTTTTAGTAGTCATAGGGTTGATAAAATTGTGAAAGTCTATGAAAGAGGCCAGGTTTGCAGATCAAGGCAATAAGCTCATCAGGCCAGGTGACACAGCTTCTCTGCACAGAGACGTTTCAACAGGTCACTGCAATTTGTCATAGACACTTGTTCAGAAAATATACTTGAAAAAAGGGCAATTTTCAGTGTTGCTGTCAAAGGCATAGCAAAAGGAAGACTGGCAGCTGAAATTAGACAAATCCAACCTTTTCCACAACATTTCCTAGCACTAAGGGTAATTAAATATTGGAATGGCTTACCAGGGGAGCTGGTGGACTCGCCATTGCTTGGAGCTTTAGGACGAGATTAGATATCATTGTAAAAGAGATGCTTTAATCCAGCTTCTGGAAGTTCTCAACATGCCCATAACACTTGCAGCTCTGCATTAAGACAATGACTATAATCAAATCTCGTACTTTAGGGTTTCAGCTGATCAACTGCAAGGGTTATAAAGATTTTCTTTCCCCTTCACATAAAAACCAGACAGATACTTTAGTGTTGTTTATTCTGATCTGTCTCTGAAGTAGCAGAGATGGCAGAAATCTACAGAAAACACAATGGGGCCAGTGGCGATAGGGAAAGTACTTCCTCTTATCCTGAAATTTACAAAGCAGTCGTATCCAAATGGGAACTTAGATGAATTTAAAGTCATCTTTGATGGATGCAAACCCCTCCTGCCCTGGAACCTGTGTGATTAGGTCAGGCAGAGGCAGGTTTGGTCTGTCTGCCCTGCTAAGGGTCTGGCAGTAGCATCCACTCAGCATTTCACTGACACTGCTTACATGACTTAAGAAAAGGAGTCATTTCATGCTCTGCTCCTGCATAGCACTGGCCAAAGGTCAAGTGAAAAACTATTGGATCACCATACCCTTAGAGGTCTTGTTAATGAATCCTGCTGGAATAGCTCAAAGGTTGTGGTTTTTGCCAAAGTGAGATAAACAGAAATCTCAAATGAGTTTGGTTCGTGTTTGCACAGTGTGAGATACAAATCACCTGTTAACACACATATCTCAGTTAATTAGCTAATTGCTATTAAAGATGAATAAGTAATACCTTGATCTCTCCTATTTGCTGAGAGTTAACATACTTTGGACTAACTAATCATGTTAATACATAGGTATCGGGATTTACTGTTCTGTGTTTTCCAGCATACATACATAAGCATCCCCTTTGGTTTTTAATTTAACTACACCTGTAACTGTACATTCTGCACTATTTTAGCAGAATACTATAATGACTTGATTATTCAGTATATGTAAAGCTGAAGGCAAGAAAGAACATTCTGCTACTTTTGCCCTTTTATGTGAAAAGAGTATGTCTTAACTCTGTCAAATAAAGCATAAAATGAGAGATGGATCTTCCAGTGATTTCTGTGAGCTGCACAGTAGCAAGTTCATATTGTGAGTCTCCTAATGAATATCTATTTAAGTGAAGTCCACACCAGGCTTTTATGCTTATTGCCTGCCTATACTATCCTCCTACATCCCTTTGACACTGTGTTCGATTCCAAGGTATTTCTGTCTGTGCTACATAAGGGGACATTTGATGGATTTGTACACGGCTACCCCTGGAATGTAATGCAGGCATGTGAATCACCTGTTGTGCAATTCAGGACATTTATCATGCAGAATAAGGATGATTTATCTTTGCCATAATTCTGAAGCATATGTATCAGTATAAGGGTCTGTTGTCAATATTGCACATCATGATTATGTTGTCATACTACAAAGTAAGAATGGGACACACCATGACAGCAACATCTAGTGACATAAAATATTCATGCAAAAACAAAAACAGACTCAACCTTTTAAAAGACAAGCAGGATGAGTGTATCTCAATGTCTATTTTGGTGACACATGCATATATTTCATAGCACCTATAAGGATCAAATTTACAAGATGGCCCTAATTAAGCAGTATATTATTCCATGGGTATCCTTACTCAAACCAAAACAAAATACTCAGAATAAGAGTTTTCTCATCTGGGATGAAAATGACAATCTGCATTTACAGTCTTCTGACTTCTCAAACAGACCACACTTGTTGTGCTGCTGTATTTAAGTACAAATAACTCTAACACAATCTGTACTCAGATCTGCTCCATAGTGCACCCAAATTTCATTATAATGAACTTGTAAACTTTTTTGTTCACTTGGTCTTTTTTTGATCTATATCTTACAGCATACCTAATGTCTACAGTGCAGGAATACTTGGAAAACCTCAAATGAATCTACAGTCCCATATTTTTTCAAGAATTATCTTTGAGGAGAAACTGAAAGAGGAATATTATACTATGCACTAGACACTTTGGAAGCCAATGACATAAGGAATAGTAATATCATTCTAATGATAAGTATCATCCCAAATTTTGACTAAATCTCTTTGTTATACAAATATTGCCTCAGTTTTCACAGCCTGTTCAACTGAAGGATTATTCAAGAAAATTTTGAGTAGAGAAAGAGTCCACATATTTGCAGCAGAGATTTACTTTCAGACAGTGCTCATTTATATTCCTTCTGTGCCAAAATCTCTGCACAAGAAACACAGAGGTTCACATGATTACTTAGCATCAAATTCTCTGCTCTTGTATTTCTGCTAAAACATTCCCAACCCAAAATATTTGAATTGTGAAGTACAGTTATAACTGAATGTACTACTTTTAAATTTAAGTTCCACACAGCAGAAAACAATGTGCGTGTACAGTAGAATCCATAGGATTAATGTAATTGTGTTCTCATTCTTTCTTGATTCTCTAGTGAAAACATTCTTACCATTCAAAACCTCTTTCCTACATACTTCAAGTAATAAAACTAGAAACTAAGTCTTGTATTTCCTGAATCTTTGCTTCCCTTAAATACTGACTAGTGGGGGTTTTTTTGCCTGCCTTACAGAATCACATGCAAGTTTGAATAACTAAATCTTTTCATTAGAACTTGTTTTGGAATAATTCTTCCCTCCCCTTGGATTGTTTACATTAATGATATAATAGTTAACATTTAATGCAAGTTTTCAATTCTATTCTTTATACTAGTGCATGTAGTTGTTACCTTTCCTTCATTTATCTGAAATCTAAAAACTCCAACTAATAGTACAGTTTGACATGTAACAAAATACTGTCAGATGCACACCAAATAAATTTTACAACACCCCTTTCCCCCCACCCTCCAAGAAAACTCAAACTGAGTATAAAACAAACAACAATCTAATCTAGCTGTCCACTTTACCTGGAAATGCATGCCCTGTTAGAGAATCCAAATCTGAAATTAAAACAGTGAAAAAATAATCTTTAACACTGATTTAATATTAAAAAGCACAAAAAATCAAAAGCAAACCTGGCACCAAATATCACATTATCATCAATATAAAATTTTAATCATATATATAGAAAAGCAAAACCAGAAAACTTAATATTACATTATGAAGGTTTTCTTCATAGTTTTGTAAAGATGTAAAATATTATCTAAAGATTAAAGCTTTGAACACTATGAGAAGTTTATTTATTTTACTGTTTAAGACAGACATACCACAATTATATATGAATTTTACAGTATTTTTCAAATGAACCTCTGATTTCAGAAACACATATCTTGAGTATAAACTTTCATTCTACCTTTGTACATAAGAACAAATTAGGAAAGTACAGAATGCTTTTTAGACTGTACTCTTTTAAAAAGATTTTCTTTTTTGATCACAACAAATTAGAGACCTAATTTTTTCTATTCTACTGTCCACACTTTCTTTTCTTTTCCTTTTTTTTTTTTTCCAAATTGTCTTTTTAAAAAAGAGAAAAGAGCTGGAAAAAGTATAAATGAGGGCTTTTCTGGTGACTCCCATATTAAAAGACAGCAGGAAGGCACATCAGTGATACTGGAGGCATCAGAATGGGCCCTTCTAAATGTGCGCTGAGACCAGAACTCAGGATTCCATCTCTGAAGTGCTTGGCACCTCTGGAAATTCCATGCTCTCAACAAAGATTTATTTGGTACCTTTGAGGAGTTACACTACAGCCAGGAGGGTAGTGGAGGCTGACAAAGTACAGTCAACACCAGCTGGGATTTGCTCTTGCACTGCCAAAGTGAAAGACTAGTTCTCAGACCCACATGGCAAAGAAAGCCTTCTTAGGAAGTGCTCTGTCACATCGTGTCACTGATGGGAACCCACGTGGAGAACAAGTCCTGTTGCTAGGAGCAGTCCCAGGTCCCAGTTGGCTCACCAAGACATGTGAGAGCTTCATAGTCACCTTCCCCCATTGTGTGCCAAGTGGGATCACACAGGGGTGCAATGGCAACACTCTCTTGGAAATACACAACAGACAGGCTGTGGCTGACCAATCCAACTCACTATGTGTTTATAGACGAGCTTTCTTGCCATTTTTAGGAATTGGTTGCATTTACTAGCAGTGCCTGGAAAAAATCTTTTAGTACTGTTTATAAACTACTTCTTTAAAAAAAAAAGTTTTCTTATGGCAACAGTCAACAGATACAAGATTCTAAGTTAATGGTTCAGGTTTCAGAAATTCTGAACTTTTTGTAATGCAGTAACTATTTCTAAAAGTCGTTAGGAAATCATTTACCAATTAACTCCTGGAACTGCAGAAGGAACTCTTTAGACAGAAGGGAAATTATGCCTGGCTCTAATAACTTTTAACAGTTTACCTGAGACATTTTCTGAGGACTGTGAACATGCTTAGTTTTGTAAGTGAACACAGGAGAAAACCAACCTAAAATGTGATAAATGCACTAGAGAGATTGCTTTCTGAAATCCAAATTGCTGAACACAAGGAATTAACTAACAATTCCAGTATGTGGTGTCTCAAGCTTTATCATAAGCTATAGACAAAAAAAAAAAAAAAAAAAAAGCATCCTCAGGATTTTTTCTTTCAGAGTCTGAGAGACAGAAGAATGTTGTTACCCCCTAGGAGTCCATAAAATCCACACCAAAACCAGATTATGCATAGATGGAGCATCTAGCCAGGCAGTGACTGCTTCCTGGAAGCACAGAGACAGCATGCAGCTACCTTGCAAATTAGAATCATCAAAAAAAAAATCTAATACTTGAATTGCCCAAAGTGCTGTCGCTGTGCACATCCTGTGGCACATCCTGGCACAGCAATAAAGTGTTTGAAAACATCTGTTCTATATCATTAATAAAGTATTCTGATGAAAAACCTCATGATCCAAGAAAAAAACAGAAGAGGAAAAATTTCTCTTCTTCCTCTAGCAGTGAAAAAATATCTACTCAGACACTGGGATTTAAAAAAATAAAAAGAAACAAAAAACCAACCAAACAAACTAAAAAAAACCCCTCAAATTAAAATAGAAAAACTGCAACCAAACCAGAAAAGCAGGACTTCTATTTGAAAAGTTCATGTACATATTGTAACTTGCAGCAGAAATCACAATAAAAAATGCTACTCTGAAAGAAATACAGACAAGTTAATGCAAATTAATTAGGCTCTTGTCCCAGCATAAAACAACACTTATGTGTAATCCTTTGTGTTAAGCTGATGTTATAAATTGTGGATGTGTTTATTTTCTCACAATTCAGTCTATACTAACTGAAAACAAGGTAGTTTGTCACCCAAGCACGTGTCCTGTGTGAACTGTTAAAGAAAACCAGACCTACTTTGCTAGCTGGAACTAGAAGATTTTATGGTATATGGAACCCACAAATCATGATCCACATGCCCCAATTCCATCATTACATTTCACAAAGAATGATTTCAGCTGACACTGCATAGGCAGGCAAGGTAAAGTTTCCCATATAAAGATAAATACCATGTGCAGCATTTCCCTGCCAGAGTTCAATACATGAAATTACTGCAGTTATAAAGGAATGAAATCTTTGCTGAAACAACTGGAATATTTAGTCTCTGCCATAAGATTTCCTGTACTCTTCTAGGGACTCCAAGGGCAGCAGAAAAAAAATCATCATTTCCTGTTATTGTTAAGAGCATTTTTCAGTTTCCTTGACTGATTTTCAATTAAGTAAGCCTGAATGGGTGGAATCCAATTTTCCTCCATTCCATTTATTTAGTGAATTGCCCAGATTTGTTGCTACTCACTTTCATTTTCATACACAAGGCTTCCTAAGCAGCAGGAATCCGAGATGAAAGTGGAATACACAAAAGTGACACACACTTTTACCCCCTTTTTAAGGCAACATAGCTAACATGTCAATATTAGCAGTTATAAAGGAATTACACTCATGAAATCCAGACCTAATTCATACTATAAGTCATTTATTTAGCTAATAAAACTGGTGATTTGACAATAAAGCTGACTTTAGTTATAATGCAATGGATGTTTTTTTAAATGGGGAATGAGCGTGCACTTTTTAGCAAGCAGTATCTCTGGCACACCACATTTTATTAGCTCAGTGCAAAACAGACATTGGAGATGGTACAAGATTTCCATGCCAATAAACTAATTATTTCCTCCTAGAGTTGATTAGCAAAGCTGTAGCCCTCTCTGTATCTTGCCTCCAAGGCCCATTCTCCCTGTGGTACAAACAGTGTTCACTGCACAATGCGCTGCTCAGCTTTGGGCTTCCCCTCTCCTCAGCTCCTCATGCTGTGCTTACAGCCAGGTATCAAAGCACTGCACAATGCCAGCACACCATGAGTGGAAGGGATGACTCTTACAGTGCACAGGAAAACACATTTGAGGTGCAGAGCACATTTAAGTCATTTAACATTAAAGGTTCTCCATGGCATTGGCAGCAAGATGATGTAATACCAAACTCTCTCTGGGAGATGACACCTGCTTAGAAAGGTTAGAAGAAGCTAATGAACACTAAATCATGCTCTCTTGAAAATACAAGATTTTGCTCTGCTTCTAAGACTTTTAACAGCAATTGTTGGAAAGAAATAAGTGTAGCTTTGCTAAATCTCCAGCTAGACTCAATCTTATTTTATTATAAACCCCTAAACTAAGCCCAGGAACCCTTGCAGATATGCACAACACCTGTGCCATGAATTCTACAAAGCTCAAGTCTTTAAACAATATGAGTTAAGTGAAGTCCAGCCACTCGTAATACTTGGAATACAAAAGGGGTGGTTGCAAAGAGGAGAATGAAGAGCACAATGAATATAGACCTGCAGTAGCTGAAGATGAAAGATTATTTGCATTCACTAGAAATTACAGCTGTAGTTTTGACAATCAGGTCAGTGAAAACTATTGGCACGTAACTCAGGATTGGATTGACATTGTGAGTTTGGCTGCACCAAGATCTGAGGGCTAATTTGGTACCACCCAAACCTAAAGCCAGAGGCTAAAGAAGTAGGTGAACAACTTTGCATTAGCCTCTAGAGGGGGAAGTGTTTCCTTCAGCTCCAGAAATTAAGTAAATTATTCATTGAGAAAAAGCTTTTCCAGTAGAAGCAACTCTTGCACAGTTCTGTTACCTCAACCTGGGTTGACTCTATTATCTGCCACTATGATCCTAACCTACTGCAATAAATCTGTTTTCAGAGTCCCTCTTATTTTCATTAATAGGTTATTTGCATTCATTGGTCACCAATCCTATAAACAGCACAATTACAATTTTAATGGAAATGTAAACCTTTCTTGTAAGAATTTCCCTGATCAGAAAAAAAAGAAGAAAAAAAAGAGCATAGAGGTTGCACTCAAGAATTAATAACAATGCCATCAGTGACCATCTTACAAACTACTGCTCACTTGTGCTGGTATTTGGAATTAATTTTTATTTTTGGAGATAATTTTAAAAACCCAGCTGAACAGTTACTTATGAAGAATTATCAATATGACACTCAAAAATCTATTTATTGCTCTGACTCCATTTGATAGTATTAATTTTTTGATAAAAAATTACATCATATTGAGACAGGTAGATTACATTTATGCTGCTAACCAGGGTTTCATTTAACTGCATTTTTTCTTGTGATACCATTAGGAGTAAGATTCAAACTTGCTTTTCTTCAGTAGAGGTGTTTTGTGCTATGTGTCTGAGCTTCTATTAGCTCCAATGAAGAAGTAGTTGAAATTGAGTCAATTAATTGCATTGAAAAGTAGAAATTAAACTTGCACAGAGGAATAGTTAGAACAACTCTTTCCACTGACAAGATCTCTAATGACTACAGTGTGAGCTTAGACAGCTACATATCTACATCACCTGTGGTGTTGGCAATTGGAGATGAATCTCACCACCAGAATCTGTCAGGAAAATAATCTACATATATGGGTGTGGATCTGAGAATAAAATGGGAGTGATTTAGACATGCAAAAATTGCTGGTTT